ATTCGTAGGTAAACGTACCTACTAGGACTTGAACCCGAAACCCGCTCGTGGAGGGTTGGGTGCCTAGACCACTAGGCTGTGGGATCCCAACCCCCCCAACTATAAAAACTAAGTATATAGTAAGCACTTCTATAAAAGAAAAATTAAACATCTCAGCTTTCAATTTATCAAACTCCTCTGAAATACAATATTATAATAATATCTTTACATCACACATTACATAATCTTCTCTCCTTTTTATGTTTTTAAACACTTATTGTATATCCTATACTAACAATATTTTCTAATTCAATTTTAAAAGATTCAGATAATGACAATAATTCTCCAACTATATATATAATCATAAACAAACCTAACACCTCTTCCTCTTACTAGCTTATTTAAAATATATAATATCTCATTATACTTTAACAAATTTTTTCAATACTATAAACTTCAATCTCTTCCCTCTCTACAAACAATATCTTCTTTTTTTCTTTATATTTAAATCAACTACCTAGTTTTTTTTTCAAACCACTATATCAAAATCTCTATTAAACAAAATGAAACCAGCTTAAATTATAATAAAGCTTATATATATTTATCAAACGAAACTTTTCTCTTACAAAATTATTTTTTTCCTCTATTTAAAGATCTCCTAATTTACTCTAATATTTTACTTAAATCTAACTATATTACACCTATCAATATACCATGTCTTCAAACTTGTAAATCTCTTTTAAATCACTCTTTTAACTAATCTAATTCACTACTAACTTTTTCTTTATTAGATTTCAATAATATCCAAACTACTAAATTTATAATCTTAAAAATTAGTTTTATTAATATTAATAGATTACCCAAGACCTAAATATCTTTAATATAGGTCATATTTGGATTTTGGCCAATTTAACCTAATTTGCTAAAAACTAAAATTTCACTTTTTCTTAAATATTTCCGGATTCAGTAATTAGAATTGAATATACTTTTTTTAAAAAAGAAGTGTTTTACTAAGGGCTTTTATTTAATTGATAATTTGTAAGTTACCTGAAGAAAATGATTTGCAATCACTAAGTAAATATAATGCAAATTAATTAATAAAAAACTTTATTTGAAAATATGAAAATTTTATTATAATATACAAGTGATATATGTATATATATTAAATATTAGATATAAAATCATTTTCCTATAATACTGTAAAAATTTCAACTTATCAACTAACCCACCTGTTAGTATAGATTTTATTCACGAGTTAAAACTAGAACCTACTTATTAGTTTAAACACTTAATAGTTTAGAAACTATTACTAAATATATAAAATCAAAAAAAAATATGAGTACTATACAAGACAAACCTGTAAATAAATATTTAAAATTAGAAGAATTATAATATTTGTAGTAAATTACTAAGTAAATAAAAACTAGTGACACATTATATAAACTAGAGGTTCTTTCCAGATAAATCTGCTATCTATTTATCTGTGTTATTAGATTCAAATATTTATCTGATTATATCAGATATCTAAAAATTTATCCAGATTATCTGATATATCTGTAACAGATATTCAACAGATATTCAAACAAATATCCAAACAAATAAATATATTTAGAAACTCTTGTATATTTTTATATACCCTTGCATAATTAAGCATAATTGCGTATATTTTATGCATAATTATATGAGATTATGCAAGAGATGCATAAAATATACGAGGGGGTTTTTAAATAGTACTTTATATAATACTGTTTCTTGCAAGCATGATGGAAGTTTGTTTTAATTGGCCAAATATTTGTTATGCACGTTGCACAAATCAGAAGATCATGTCATATAAATTACATGATATTAACCAATAAAATGGCAAATAACCTATCATATGTATAGTTAATTTAATCGCTTCGTTGCAGTCTTTGTTGCATGTTCATATAATATACAATTAGCCAAAAATATTAAATTTAATAACTTTAATTTATATTTCTTTTTAAAATATCTTAGCAATTACCTATTTAATTCATAGAATAAAAATAAAAATAAGGTTTAATAGGTGAATTAGATAACGCAAAACATTATTTTAGGAGTACACACAAAGGTTTTTATAAATAAAATTAAATTAAATTATGTAGTAACACAATATAATATATATGTAAAAAATAATTAAATAAATAATAATTAAAAAAAGTTTAATTTTTTAATTTTAATAAAAAAAATCGTATTTTAAATTGAAAAAAAAGTTTAAAACTTGTACATGTTATAATAACTCGAAAAAATCTTGGCTCTTGCTCAGTCCATAATAGTCAAATGGATACAAGTCAATATCATGAAATTATATAAAATATGCTAAAAAAAGCAAAAGAAAAGAGCTCTTTTAATTAGCATAATTATCTTGAAGTCAGAAAACAATTATGTTATCCTTATTATCTTCGCATAACTGAATCTGATCACAATAGCAAAAATAAGTTATCAGCTAATAATGAAAAAGTCATTGTTGAGCTTGAAGTTTCTATAGAAATTGATAGTTCAACCAAAATCCATACTAAACTACTAACTAATGATAAAATAAAAAAATTAAGTGATGACAAGTTAGTTAGCTTAATTGAAAAATTAAAAAAAGAATTAGAAGATAAAAAGAAAGATGTTAATAATGTTAATAAGTTAATATATAATAATAATAAAAATGAAATAATTATAAATAGGCTGTTGTCTTTTTGTGAAAAAATTGCTTTAATGACTAAAGTCCTCTATGAAAAACAAAGAAAAGAAAATCATGCACTTGAATTAGACCCTAACAAATTTCAATCAATGCTTGAGAATTCTGAATCATTATTAAGAGGGTTCTTTAAAAAACTATACAGAGCATTAATTCCAGATAGATGGTCTGCCTATAATAAGAAAGAGGATAAAAAGAAAGTAGTTAATATATGCTATTTAATGGCAGCAATTCGAAATAAATTTGCAAACAATTATCCTCTGGAGATCAGATTATATCTTATAGCATCTGGTGCATCATGTGATGCAATTAATACCATGCATAATGCTGGTATTACAGTTTGTTATAAGACTTTAGATAGTTATAGAAAAAGGATTGCAAGTGAATATCCAAAAAAGATTCGAGAATATTTTACTGAAAAGGTAGTAGTCTAAGGATATCTATAATATTATTAATAATTAAAATTTAATTAATGTTTTTTATTATTAGAGTAACAGTTTTTTCGTGTATAATATTGATGATTATTATAATATACATAAGATAAGACATCCTGATACTGTATTTTTCTCAGCACCAATCTATTATGCAACTTGTGTTAGCAAGGAAACTCTAAAGTGTGCACTAATTCCAATAAATTATAATGGTAATTCTGTTCACAATCCCAACAATATAGATGCATCATTAATTTGTTTAAATTTAATTACGAAATATCATAGAATTTTTGATCTTTCATATATATAAAGAAAGAGTCAATGGATTGCTTCACAAAAAACAGAATTACTTAACTTTGATAAAATCGACCTTCTTTCTGTTCATTGCTATGACAATGCTATTAGAGAAATAAAACAAGAAAGAAGCATGGAAAGAGTAAGATTAGTTGGAATTAAAGAAAGCAATCTATATTCTTTGGATAACTATCTAAATGCACTAGAAATGATTCTTTCAGTAAATCAGGATATTGAACGTGCTAATAATTATATAATTCCAGTTGTTGCTAACTGGCCCAGGCAACTTTTTATATGAAAGGCATTAACTTAAATAAATTTACAAACCAGAAATTCAAAAATACCTGCAGCTATTAATGCCTTTGTACCTATATTAGGCCCTCTGCATATATCACTAAATAGTCAGGAGCAAGTTCTAAAAACTTATTATTCTTTCTTTGAAAAATTGTTTCATACAGTTTTTGGTAAAAAAAAAAGGTCCTTGCAAAAAAACCTAAACCGTGAAGAATAAATCTCTTACTTGAACTTTCCTACCAAGGATGGTTAAAAATAAGAGTAAGAATATTAAAAAAATTCAACCCTCTATATAAAGATATAGAATATAGAATATTAGTAGACCTTCTTGATAACATAATTCCAGCAACTTTGGATATATACGCAGTTCTGTTTCGTTCTGGTTCTTTCGATGAATATGTTGAAACCATTTTCTAAATAGACTTTTGCATTACGCTGGAACTGAAAAAATTACAACAAAGCTCCTTTAGCTAGGGATGTTAAATTGCGAATCCGGTCCGGTCCGATCCCAGGATCTATTAGGACGGTCCCGGACCTATTAATAAAAA